TCCAGATCCTGTTGCCTATGAGATATTTCAGCCTCCTAATTGCTCTCTCACCTCAAGGCTGATCATGATTATGGCTGTCCATGGTTGTGAGGCCCTTTCCTCAAAAAGTTCATTCTGAATGGTAATTTTGTGTCAGTTCCTTTCTATGAACCTATCTTTTCTTTTTATAACAAAACGTTATATTGTTAAGAATGGAAAGAGAGATGGGCATGGTACCACACCTGTAATCCTAGCACTCAGAATGTGGAAGGCTTATCTCTGTTAGTTCAAAGTCAGCCTGGTCTACAAAGTGAGTTCTAGGTCAGTCAGGGATACACAGTGAGACCCTGTGCAAGTACAGAGACCACACATCTCAGTGAGTATGATAAGGACAATCTAAAACTTGTAGGCCTCGATGATCATATAATTTGGACAGAACCCTCTTTAGTTTTTTTTTTCAATTTCATTTATTTTTTTAGTAACTTGTATGTTAATTTTAAACACATTAAAGAAATATAAAATATAGAAGAATGATAGCACTTACCCATTCTGGTCCTAGCAAATTGTAGAAATACAATAGTATTTTTCTTAGAAAATAAAATAGTATACTGTGGTGACGTATTGTGACTCCAATATATTGTGCACCCTAATAAAGTTTATCTGAGGGTCAGAGGAAAAAGCCAGCCACTATAGTAAACATAGAGGTCAGGCAATGGTAGCACATGCCTTTAATCCTATCACTCAGGAGGCAGGGATCTGTCTGGATCTCTGTGAGTTCAAGGCCACACTGGGAACAGAGCCAGGTGTGGTGGTACATACCTTTAATCCCAGCACTAACCATAAAGGTTTGGAGATCTGTACAGACAGACAGGAAGTGACAGAGCTGGGCAGGAAGAGGGAGTGATGTAGCTGTGCAGAGTGAGGAATTGAGATGGCAGAACAGAAAGGCATATAGGCATGGGTATATAGGAAGTAGTTCTCTTTGGAGACTGAGGTGTCAGTGAGGTGAGGTTGTGGCTGTGGCTTTTCCTATTCCTCTAATCTCTCAGGTTTTCACCCCAATATCTGGCTCCAGGTTTTTTAAAATTAATAAGATCATTTAGCAATTCATTTTACAGTATACTTCACAGAATTCTGTTCTAATAAATACTATTTTGATACTCCATGTAGAATTATGCATCCACACAGTTCATCACCTTTCCTGCAGGGCACATGAGGAAGTCAGGGGATAACTTGCAGCTGGTTCTCTCCTTCCATCATATGGGTTCAAAGGCTTGGATTCAGATCCTCAGGCTTGGTGGCAGGTGCCCTTACCACTGAGCAATCTGGGCCATATATAGCATAGAAGAATTCTTATAATGATCTCAGTTTCCCAGTTGTTTTCTTGGACCACAGACATAACCTGCTTAAGATTTTAGTTGTCAGAATGTAGTGGGTAGCTGTTCCAGCTTTGACCTGGAGGTACTACCCCCATTGAGGCTTCTGGTAACTGTCACAACTACGAGTCAGGGCTAAGACAGGAGACCTTAAGACCTGAGATCTGGATGTGCTGGCTCTCTTGGTTCCTGGATCCTGGACACTGGAGGTAGACCGAGCAGAGTTCTCCAGAGAACACCACTGGACTGCACTTCACCTTTCCCGGACCCTGTAACCTATCCCTTTACTTGTAAGTTACCCCACAAAATAAACCTCCCTTTTAACTACGTGGAGTTGCCTTAATACTTCAACCAATATCAGGGACATTCAAATTCCATTCTACAAATGAGGAGAATAAAGATATAGTGGTTGATAGGCATGGACTAAGTTTTCTGGCTCCGATACCATGTCATTTGCAGCTACCAAATGGAAACCATTTGCCACAGTAGGAGCTTTTGCAACTAGATCCATTCCACTATGTGCCATGCAAGGGTTGTTTCTTCCATTTCCCAGCTTGGCCACATTTAATTAGGTTCAGCTCAAGTTATTCACCTTGCATTTCTGTTCCATGACCTATTTGTAGTAAACCCTTTAGAGTCTAAAGTTTAGACTGACACAGGGCAGTTGTTAGATATTTTGTCTAGTGTAATTATTTGCTTAATTTCCCCAAAGATCTCCAGATAATTGCCTCTGACTTGTACAGGTGCTCAGTAAATTATTAATGTTGAATATGATGAAGAACTACAATAATCCTGCAACTCCAGAGGACCTTCCTTTTGGGTTCAGGATTGTCAGGACCAACCTTGCTTCCTTAACGTTTCTGTTTCACATAGACATTGCAGACTTTTGGTGGGGCCTGTGGTTGTTCTAAATCTTCTAGCTACAGTTCCAGAATTAAGTTTGCTGCATTTTGTAAGCCACTTTATTAAACGTTTAGAGGTAAATTAGCAAGAGCGAGCTTCACTGTCTTTCCACCATTGAAGTTGAAATAAGCAAAATTTTATGAAATACTTATGAGATATCAGGTTGATTGAGGAATTCCAGGTAAGTGAATATTATCATATACTTACACTGACCTACATTTGATTTTTTTTTTCAAGACAGGGTTTTTCTCTGTAGTTTTGGTGCTTGTCCTGGATCTCACTCTGTAGACCAGGCTGGCCTCGAACTCAGAGAGATCCACCTGGCTCTGCCTCCCGAGTGCTGGGATTAAAGGCGTGTCTCACCACTGCCCGGCTACATTTGATTTTTTTTTTAACATTTATTTTTTGTAGTGCTTGGCATTGAACTTGGAATCTTAGACTTGCAAAGCATGTGCTCTACCACTGGACTATCCCACCCTCTGATTATTTATATTTAGTTTATATATTACCTTAGAGTTTACTGCCGCACAAAGAGGATTTTCTCCACTTTAGGTTTATGTATTCATTGAGAGACTCAGAACACAATTCACAGATAATATAGTTGATAGATGAAGCACATTCACCACAAAATGAGTGAGGTTTCAAAATCATTTAAATTCAGCTATTGTTCAGTTAGGGTGAAAGCAGACTCTGGGAAGGGAAGTGGAGGAATGAAAGACTGAGATGTGCCTTCAAAAGAGCTGTTCTGGGAAGAGATGGTGTCTAACACAGTGGAGATGATCTGTTCCTGCATGGTGCTCTTAGTGAGGATTTGGAGACAGCTGGAGGTTATGAAACAGCTGGAGCTGGTGGTGTTTGGAGAAGAAGCCTGTTACTTCCCGAGTGCTCATTGTGTTAAACTCTTGTGTTTACATATGTTTAAGACTGTAGTAGTTGAGGCCAGGAACTCACATCACTCTCTAGGTGTGTGTGTGTGAGTTTCAAGTTCTTATGACAGCCAAACATACGTCACTCATTTGCATGTCTGCAATCATTGCAAAGTCAAATGACACTATTTACCTAGCTGTATGGGCTAATTTTCTGAGCCTTTGTTCTGGCCATTAACAGTACTTTGCTAAAGATAAATTCAAATTCTAACAGACACACATTCACATTTATGTCTTTCTATATTGCAAGTTGATTTATTTAGAAACATGGTTCTTTGAATATGAATACTAATATTTAGAAACTTTGAAATCTTAAAATACTCTCAGATAATCACGTTTTCAGATTGGGAAGTTTGGGGTGTGGAGTGGTTTAAAGATGTTTTTAATTCTATCACTTTGTGCTCCCACGGGAAAACGATAATATTTAATAAAATGGCAGTCTCATCCTCTTAGTAAAGACCTCTGCCACTAGCAAACTGCATGAAATAGTTTCACACCTTGAATTACGTTTTGAATCGCCTTCAGGAACCTGCTAAATTTTGCTTAAATAAAACATTAAGAACAAAATAAAACCCCGAAAGGGCTCAGTTTAGTCCCCTATCCTACCGTGGTTTTACGTCTCTTACCAACTACCATAAACACCAAGCATGATTTACATTCCTTAAAAAGGCAAAGGATGTCTTTATTAACAAGGTATCTAGGAACATTTAAACACAGTGAAAACACAAGGGTGTTTCCAAGATTTCTCCCACACGTCTTTACCTTTAGCTAGCAACTTCGCAACAATGTTTTTGAGGCTATACATTGGAACACTGTTTAGAAACTAATCGGCATGGCGTTTTGTTCACAGCACCATCTAATATCTCATTTATCCGGGTTTGATCAGGGGTGCAGTTTGCAGAAGCCAGGCGGCATTGCTTTCCCAGCCTGTTCTGGGTCTCCTTGGGATCAGGAAAGGGCTAGCCTTACCCACTGTGTCCTTAAGATTTGATGGGATCTGGAGAACTAAGACAACCGTTGCCCTGAGCATCAAAGAAGCCTCCTGGCAGCGTGGGTGGTTGGCAATGGTGGGCCTTGGGCTCAGTTCCGGAAAAAAGGCTACGGCTCTGGTTGGGAACGAAAAAAGAAGGCTATCTGAAGACCCGCTAGCGGGCGAGCTCAGTTACACTGGGCCACAGGCACCCAAATGCTGGAGCGCGCACAGCCCGAAGCCCCGGCCCGCGGTCCAACCCCTTCCTCGCCCTGCCCCACCCCGCGTTTCGGGACCCACCCCTCCCCCTCTACAGGCCCGGCCTCTGCGAGTGCCCCGCCCCCTCCCGCGCGCACGCGCCCTGTGCCCTCCCTCCCACTCGCCCCGCCCGCACCCTCGGGCATGCGCCCGGAGCGCTCTCTTGTCATGCGCCCCGCCCCCACCCGCGGGCACGCGCCCCGTACCCGTCCTCCTTACTCGTCCCGCCCCTCCCTGGGAGCGCCCCGCCCTCACGCGCACGCGCCTTGCGGGCGCACGCGAGCCGGCTGTCCGAGGCGTGAGTTGGGCGGGGCGCCGCGCTGACGTTGCCCGGGATGCGGGCAGGTTCCGCAGCCGTCTTCGCCACCTCCGTCTCTCCTGCCACTGGGGTTTGTATGAGAACACCGGGCCGCGGGCGGCGAGGGACCCGCCGTGCGTCCCGGGAGCCGCGGGCGCGGAGGCCGAGCGCAGCCCCCGCCAGCGCCCACGCCGAGCCGGTGAGCGTCTCCGCGTCCGCGCGTCCCGCCGGCCGGCTCCCGGCGGCGCCTCAGCTCACCTGGCGGGGGCGAGGCGCGCTCCGAGGCGGGGAGGCTGACTGTCGAGCGAGCCCCGGCCGTCGACGCCCCGTGCGCTCCCCGCCGCGCTCCGCTGCCAGCCACTCCCCGGCCTCCGCCCTGCCGCGCCCCGGGACGCTTTGATTGGCTCCTCGTTGACAGTTTAGCACTGTGGAAGGCAGTTCCAACACCTCCACGGGTAGTCGGGGTGGACGTTGACAGTCTAAAGCTCGTCTGCGGTACCTCGCTGGGCTCGTTCGGTGTGTGAGGTAACGGCGGCGATCCCGCTGGCATTGCGGGTTCTCTGTGGCGAGCCCTCTCTCCAGGTGTTCGGAATAGTAACGGTGCTCATCCGGTGCACGGCAGTTTGTAGTCCGCAGGGGAGAGTGGCCAGCCTCTGAGTTGCTCTCACAGTTCTCCCTCGCTTTCCTGAGATAGGAAGTTATTTTTGTAATTGTGTTTTGGAATGTTTTCGGTCTAGTTGACCAAAAAAGAAATGGTTTATTTAAGGCACCTTGAACGGCACAGATTTTAAAACATAGGCCAAATGTCAAAACCAAAGTCCTGGAGGTCTGTAAGCCGATCTCCCTAACAGAGACACTTGGCGGTGCCTTAGTCTACCCGGATTTCTCCCGATTTGCTTGGTTTCCTGTTCCACTTCTCCTGAGTCATATTCTACAGTGGCCATGGAGTTTTGCCTTGAATTGATGGATCAGTGTTTAAAATTGTAATCTTCGTTGAATTTTGGAACAGACGCTTTTTGTGTTTGACCAAAATGTGAAATATATTAATGTAACTTAAGCTTTTGTGGTAGCAATTAAATTTTTTTTAGGATTTATTATGTATATGTGTATGAGTGTTTGCCTGAATGTATATATGTTCACCACGTGTGTACTTGATGCTGGAGGAGGTCAAAAGAGGGCATCAGATTCCCTGGAATTGGAGTTACTTTTGTCGTGAGCCGCCATGTGGGTGTTGGGAATCGGACCCACCCAGGTCCTCTGGAAGAACAGTAGCAAGTGCCTGTCACCACTGAGCCACCTCTTCAGCCTTGGGTTAGCAATTTTTATAATGCTTTTCCAATTATTTGTATTGAGGTACCCCTTTTTTCGTGTGTGTGTGTGTGTGTGTGTGTGTGTTTGTTTAGGTGTAGGTCAGAGGACTTGAGAATTTTGGTTCTCCCTTTGACCTTGTGGGTGCAGGGGATGGTCATGGGCAGGTGCCCCTGCTTGCAGAACCATGTTGCTATTCCCCTTGAACTGAAGCATTCTCTTTAGAGAAGTCTGGCTACATTGCTGTGTAGTGATTGATCTACATTAGTGGAGGTATAAGGCAGTCCATGATGTGTGAAATATTTTAATTTGTATTAAATTTGTATTACAAATACAAATTGTATTACATTTGTATTAGTGTAACCTTACATTTGGATTTTGTCTTTAAGCTTCTTTCACATTAGTCATCTTCAAAGTCTACTCTTAACAGTGTGAATCCTTTAGCACCTAAAAGTTAAATCAGTAGTGAATGGTAATTGTGAGCCTCTTGCACATTGTTTAGGATCTTTCATTAAGCAGTGGGTATCAAGGTAAATGCCAGAAATGGTTGAGGGTGGGAGCTGAGTTTTAAACTTCATGTTTTTGTAGGTTACGGTGCTTGTGTACTACAGTGCAGTGGCTAAGGAGTTGGGGCTCAGCCAGAGAGGCTGAATTTGTGTCCTGGCTTGCTGTAGGCAAGTTGTTTATCCTCTGGATTCAACTCTCTCCATGCCAAAAATGGAGATGATGGTGTTTATACCCTTTGGATGATCTCAAACGTGAAATAAGTTAATATAAGCGTAGTGCTTTTCCACAGTGTGTAGTTCATAGGAAGTGCTCACTAGGCATGACTGTTGTTGCTACTACTTTCCCTCAGTTAATCAGCAAAGAAAGACTTCAGGCTGGTTGGGCAGCATTAGCACAGACTAATTCCCATGATGTATTTTCTTCTTTGAGGCTGCGGGTGTGTAGTCTCACTGTCGTTTCTTGGAAACATGTAAGTTTTAAATAGAATAGGTATACCCTGAGCAGGCTGCCCTGGGATGTTGCTGGAGAACTGAGTATCCTTGCCTGTCTCCTTTGACAGAACTTTGGAGTGTCTCCCTCATGTTAGTGGTGGCTGCTATTTTAATCACCTGTTTTCCAGTTATTGACTGTTTCTCTGACGGTCATATGTTGCTATTGGATGCATTATCAAAATGCTAGTGGCCACATAGATGTTTCTAGGATATACAAAGTAATTTTTGTCTGCACATTCTGTTTTGTCTTTATCGATGTTACATAAAATAATGCTTTGATTTGACATTGTGTTCATTTTCAGCTTTCGTGTAATTTTCCTAGGAAAATGGGTCTCCCTCATTAATAATTTCATATTCTTGTTCTTGGTTTACAAGGATTTGAGGCAGTTTGAGCATCTCTTGTCTGATATTCTTGAGGCCCACAGGTGTTTTAGGTTTTGGAATACTTTTATACATCTAATGAGATTTTTCGAAGATAGTACCCAAATCTGAACATGACGTGTGTGTGTGTGTGTGTGTGTGTGTGTGTGTGTGTGTGTGTAGAATGTGATTTTATGTGTTTTTAGTGTGCCTACATTTTGTGTGTAATATGGCAAAATGAGGTCAGCTGTGAATTTTCCATTTGTGGTGTCATGTTGGTATTCAGAAGGTTTGGGATTTTGGAATTTTAGATTAGAGTTGTGCAGCTTATATTTAAAGTCTGTTCTTAAATCAGATATTTTCAAACTTGATCTCAAGATTCCTTTTACATTCTTAGAAATCATTGTAGTACTTTTTTGTAGGTTATAGCCTTATTTACTTTGTTACAGTTAAATATTTTTTAAATTTAAATTTTTTGTTAATTCACTTATAATGGTAGCCTTAAACACATTACATGTTAATATAAACAACATGTTTTAAAATGAAAAAAAAAAAAAACCCACACACGACAACAGACCTGGTGAGAAGAGTGGTAGCGTTTTACGTGTTTGTAAATTTCCATGCCTTTTCTCCATCTCTTCTCTCCTTTCCCTCCTCTCTCACCCCACTCCCACCCCTTTGTTTTTGGAGTGTACTGGGCAAGGAAGGCCTCTACCACAGACTTATACCCCAGACTTAATTTGTATAAATCTTTTTTTTTTTTTTTTTTTGGTTTTTCAAGACAGGGTTTCTCCGTGTAGCTTTGCGCCTCTCCTGGAACTCACTTGGTAGCCCAGGCTGGCCTCGAACTCACAGAGATCCGCCTGGCTCTGCCTCCTGAGTGCTGGGATTAAAGGCGTGCGCCACCACCGCCCGGCTAATTTGTATAAATCTTTAATATCAAATAATACAAACAGGTTATTTCTGCTTCAGCATTCAATCTATTGCAATATGTTTAGGTTGAAGTATATATATGGAGAAAATCCAGCCAGATATAGTTACTGGTTATAAAGGGGAGGGGATAATTGTGGATATTTTTGTTTGCTATATCATCAATTCTCAGCACGTGGTACTTTCTTAAAGGTTAGTTGCAACATGGAATCTGAAATCCTATCTGATTTTTTCCATGCTCATTTGTACTTAAATGCATTGCTGTGAGCTCTAAATGGATCTTATGCACATTTGAATTTGTTACAATTTGTTCGTCAAGTATTAAGTATTGATTCACTGAGTTGGGCACATCTTCCAATTGGTGGCGCATTTTATTGTACAGTACCAAAGAAAGTCACGTTTTTGGGTCCTAGTACTGGAGATTGAACCCAGGGCCAGCCAGATCGCTTTTGTACTTTTATTTTGGCACACTTTCATTAGCTTGTTTGCTGGGATTTCGGACCTCTTCTCTCAGGCCAAATAGAAGTCATATTGTTAATATGCTTGTTCCATGAGAAATGAGTAGTAGTGGTTTGGGTTGAAATATGATGGTGGATATGAGTTTTACAAAGTTCTGATTTAAAGAAATATTATTGTGTATCTGTGCTGTGGTATTCATGTGGAGACAGAGGACAGCGATGTCAGTTCTCTCCTTCCACCATGTGGTTCCTGGCAACTGAACTCAGGTCGTCAGACTTGGTGGCAGGTGCCTTTACCTGCTGAGCTACTGGCCAGTTTGAGACCTCATTCTGTGTGACACATGAATAGTATCCATGAAACGTTGCCACCAGGTACTGAATAGCTGATGACTGTCTCAAGGCAAAGGAGTTCCATAATGGAATTGAGAGCTTGAATTAACCTCTTTTTTTTTCATGAAACACCATTTGAATGGAACTATGCATGTTCAGACTTGGGTGTCTTGGTAGAGGTTTTCACAGAAATGAACAGAGTAAGTCTACTTTCTCTTCAAGTAAACGAACGGTAGTTATATTTGTGACAAGGATAACACCTGAGTTTTCATGCAAAAATCAGAACCGTGGAAAGATGGCTCAACAGGTAAAAGGTGTTTGCTGCACAAACCTGGGAACCTAAAATCAGCTTCCAGAACCATGTAAAAGTAGAAGGAAAGGAACAACTGCTCTGACCTTCACAGTGTGGTACCCATGCGCACACCCACCCATGTCACAGACACACATTAATAAGTAAAATAAGATTAAAGAAAGAGTGGACTAATTGAGCCACATGCTCATTGTCTTCAATTTTGAGGGGTTGTTAGACTGCTTACAAAGCAGCCACATTCTCAGATTCCCACCAGCAGAGTGGAAGGGTCCAGTTTCTCCACATTCTCAACAGTCATTGTTACCACCTCCCCCACCCTTTATTACAACCATTTGAATGCTTGTAAAGTGTAGACTAAATTTCAAAATAGAGACTTGGTATAGCAGAAATGACAGTACTTTAAATAGATTAGTTTTATATTTAGAATATTTATTAGGCTGACCCAAGATTACAGCCAACAGTAGCAGATCTTAACCTTGGCTATACATGGTTAGTGTTGCCTAAGATCTTCCTTGTAGGTTTATCTTGACTCTGATGGCATTCTGTCACCCACTCCTCCCTCCAAAAATAGTTATAAAAAGAAAATGGGAAGGGTCATTTGTAGATCAAGGGTCCACTCTATCCTCAGTAGAGAGGGTTTACTATTGGCTGTTAAATAGTTGAAGGACTTGTTTGGGGATGTACAGATATGGGTTAAAAAAAAGAGAAGTAGAGATTAATTCTGAAGAATATAGGGACATTAGACCACAGCATTTTCTTGTGTTCCTGCTGCAGCATGCTTTTCTATCCCCAGGTGAGAGCAGTATGTGCTGAAAAGGACAGTTCTAGGGT